TGGGGGTGTTGGTGGGGTTATTGGGGGTTCTGGACCCATTTTTTGTTTTTGTTTTTCGTTTGCAGGGTGCCAACGACCCCCGACCGGTAGGTGCCGACCAGTCGGCATCCAACCAGTCGAGGGGCGCCGACGGTAGGGGTATGCAACACTGACACCCAGGCAAAAAATAAAAGAGTTGAGTTTGCAATTTTTTTCATGCAGGGCCACTTTCGGATGAGCAGTGCTACCGGACCAAAATGGCTGGCACCCGCCAGCCAAACAGATCATTGCACCCTCAGCGGTTCATTTTTTGGGGCACTCAGCAGGATTTCGGATCGGTGAAAACAGCCTCGGACGTGATCGTGGTTTAAATGGGAGTATCCCCTAACATTATTGTATCCATCAGAAGGCCACATTGACCCACTCGAGTAACAAGAGGGGCACAAGTGGAGATTGTCCGATTCCCAATATCATGGAAGACAGGGAGGAACGACCTGAGCAAAAGCCATCAACGGAAGGAGCAACGATATGTACGAGTGTCTCCGCCATAGCCAGCATAAGGAATCGCCCTAAACTACCTGTGACCGCTGATGCACTTGCTCAAACCTTTTATCGGCAATGGTGGGAAATGCAGATGGGATCATGAGTATAACGTTCAAGTCCCTATAAAAAGGACTTCTCCATTTATTATCGAACTGTTAATTGGATAGACGTTAGATAGAACACATCTGCAAGAAGCTAGTTAGGAAGAGAGAGTGCTAAGTAAGCCCATTGCTTGGTGCTAACAAAGCATTTGGCTGAATGTGACACTCTTTTTCATGCAGATGCGTTCAAGCATGCATTTGACAGAGAGGCGTGGGGAAGGAATCGTCAGTTGCCGATGGTGCATGTTTATGGATTCACCAAGTCTGCAGATCCAGAAAAAGAGATAAAAGAGGTATGTGTCACCGAAACCTCGACAATGGGCAAGCAACAAAATGTAGCCTTTGTATGGGTGATTGCTCTTCCGTTTATTTGCTGGCTTATCTGTTCATTCATTTGTTGGTTTGTGTCTGCATTCACTCTTTAATTCAGAGTTGTCATGTAGTTATCGATTGATGGCAAGCACTTGCCCATCTGTTTCTTCGTTCGTTTGGCAAAAGCGTCCACCAGGATGGTCGATGGGATCACAAAGAGGATGAGGATGAGAACGGGGAGGGGGTATGGGATTACGATCGAGGGAATTTGAATCGGAGTAAGGATTTGACGGACGTGTTTTCTTTCAATGTTTTACTCTCTCTCTCTCTTCCCATCCCTCCCTAGTCCCTGCCCCTCCAGAATCGAGATTCACCCTCATGTCATTCAACGGTCAAGTACAAACGAGTACTAATCTCTCTCTCTCTCTCTCTCTCTCTCTCTCTCTCTCTCTCTCTCTCTCTCTCTCTCTCTCTCTCTCT